GTGGGCAAATCATAGAAACACACAGCTTCCAAAAACTTAACCAAAAAGAGATAGAAAACTTGAACAGACCAATAACAACAAAGGAAATTGAAAATATAATAAAAAAACTCCCAGCAAACAAAAGCTCAGGTTCGGATGGTTTCACAGGAGAGTTTTACCTAACATTCAAAGAAGATCTAATACTCATTCTCCTCAAACTATTCCAGAAAATCCAAGAAAATGGAACACTTGCAAACTCATTTTATGAAGACAGCATAATCCTAATTCCAAAACCAGATAAAGACACTACAAAGAAAGAAAACTACAGGGCAATATCCCCGATGAACACAGATGCCAAAATTTTAAACAAAATATAAGCAAATCAAATCTAGCAATACATCAAAAGAATTATTCATCTTGACCAAGTGGGTTACATCCCAGGCATGCAAAGATGGTATAATATTTGCAAATCAATAAATGTGATAAAACACATAAAAAAAAAGAGATAAAAACCATATGTTCACATAAATAGATGCTGAAAAAGCATTTGAGAAAATCCAGCTCCCTTTTTTGATAAAAACACTCAGCAATGTGGGAATAGAGGAATCATATCTCAACATAATAAAGGCCATATATGAAAAACCTACAACCAATATCATACTCAATGGGAAAAAACTAAAAGCATTCCTCTTAAGAATGGGAAGAAGACAAAGATGCCCACTTTGGCCACTCTTATTTAACATAGTACTGGAAGTCTTAGCCACAGTAATTAGACATGAAGAAAAAATAAAGGGGATCCAAATAGGAAAGGAGGAAGTGAAACTGTCATTATTTGCAGATGACATGATATTGTACATAGAAAACCCAAAAGACTCCATCAAAAATCTACTAGACTTAATAAATAAATTTGGTGAAGTAGGATACAAAATTAATGTCAAGATACTGACAGCATTCTTATACACCAATGATGAAATCACATAAAGAGAAACTAAAAGGAGAATCCCATTTACCACTGCAGCAAAAAAATTAAGATACCTAGAAATAAACTTAACCAAAGAAGTAAAAAATCTCTTCACTGAAAACTACAGGTCACTGAAAAAAGAAATAGAGGAAGATATAAAAAAGTGGAAGCATATGCCTTGTTCATGAATTGGAAGAATTAGTATCATTAAAATGTCCATACTACCCAAAGTCATCTATAAATTCAATGCAATCCTCATCAAAATACCAACGACATACTTCACAGAACTAGAACAAACACTCCAAAAGTTCATATGGAACCAAAAAAGACCTCGAATAGCCACAGCAATCTTAAAAAATAAAAACAAAGTGGAAGGGACCACATTACCAGATTTCAGGTTATACTACAAAGTCACTGTAATCTAAACAGCCTGGTAATGGCACAAGAACAGGCAGATAGATCAATGGAACAGAATAGGGAACCCAGAAATGGACCCAAGACAATATGCTCAGTTAATATTTGACAAAGTTACAAGAGCATACAGTGGAGTCAAGACAGTCTCTTCAATAAATGGTGTTGAGAAAATTGGACACCACATGCAAAAAAATGAAGCTAGAACACCAACTTACACCATACACAAGAATAAACTCAAAATTGATAAAAGACTTAAATGTAACTCATGAATTCATAAAAATCCTAGAAGAAACTGTAGGCAACAAAATCTCAGACATCATATGCAGCAGAATTTTCACTGATACAACACTTAAGGCACCAGAAACAAAGGAAAAAATGAACACATGGGACTTTATCAAACTAAAAAGCTTCTGCACAGCAAAAGAAACAACTATCGAAACAGAAAGTGATCCCACGATGTGGGAGACCATAATCACCAATGATGCATTAGATAAGGAGTTAATTTCCAAATATATAGAGTGCTCATACAACTCAACAAAAGGAAGACAAAGAACCCAGTTAAAAAATGGGTAGAGGATCTAAATAGACACCTCTCCAAAAAGGATATATAAATGGCCAAGAGACATATGAAGAAATGCTCAACATTACTAATCATCAGAAAGATGCAAATTAAAACAACAATGAGGTATCACTTCACACCTGTCAGAATGGCTTCCATTAACAAATCATCAAACAAGTGTTGGCAAGGGTGTGGAGAAAAGGGGACTCTAGTACACTGCTGGTGTGAATGCAGCCACTGTGGAAAACATTATGGTGATATCTCAAAAAGTTAAAAATTGAACTTCCATTTGACCCAGTGATCCCACTTCTAGGAATATGCCCTAAGAAACCTGAAACACTAATCATAAAGAATATATGTACCCCCATTTCATAGCTGCACTATTTACAATAGCTAAGATCTGGAAACAACCCAAATATCCATCAGTAGACGAATGGCTAAAATAGCTGTGGTACATATACAGAATGGAGTACTATGCAGGTGTAAGAAAGAAAGATCTCTTATCTTTTGAGATGGCATGGAAGGACCTGGAGAGTATTATGCTAAGTGAAGGAAGCCAAGCAGAGAAAGACAAATATCATATGATCTCACTTATTTGTGGAATATAATGAACTAAACAAACTGATGAACAAAATTAACCCAGAGACATGGAGGTGGGGTACAGACTGACAAGCTTCAGAGGAGGGGGGTTTTGTGGGGAGAGAGATAAACCACAGAACTTACATGCATATATGCATGACCAATGAACATAGACAACAAAACTGAGAATTGGAGGAGGGGAGAGGAGAAGAGGGTGTTTATGGGGGAAAAATGAGAAACATCTGTAACAAAAACAAATTAACAAATAAAAAATTTAATAAAAATATTTAAAAAATTTAAATGTATACAACACTACTTTAAAATCTGGTGTATGTATTTGCAATTAAAAGTCTGATAAGGGTTTAGTATCCAGAATATATACCAGGGTGGACAAATGTTGGGTAATAACAACAATAATAATAAATATAATAATAAGGAAATAAATAATAATACAAGAATATACTCTGTGTTTTGTGTACTCACAACTGTAAACCTACTTTTTTTCACCCCTGTGTAGAGTTCTTAAAACAGACTCTAAAATTTAATAAGACAAATAATTTAGTTTAAAAAGAAGTGAAAGATTTGAATAAACATTTCTTCAAAGAGGATATAGAAAGTTCCAATAAGCACATGAAAAAATATTTAACATCATTATTTATTATGTAAATGAAAATTAAAACCACAATGAGATACTACCTCACACCTACTAGGATGGCTACTATCAAAAACTCATAAAACAACAAATGTTGGCAACAATGTGGCAAAATTGGAACCCTCATACACTGCTGGTGGGAATGTAAATGGTGCAGCCACTTTGTAAAACAGTTTAGAAATTCTTAAATTGTTAAATATAGAGTTACTATATGCCCCAGCAATTCCACTCCTAGTTATCTAACCAAAAGAAAACATATATCCACATAAACACTTGTTCATGAATGTTAATTTCTAAGATCCAAAAAGCAGAAACAACCCAAGCACTCATCAACAGATGACTAGATAAGTAAAATGTGTATGACCATATAATGACATATTATTTAGTAATAAAAATAAATGAAGTACTGATACATGCTACAGCATGAATGAACTTCAAAATTATCATTCTTAGTGAAAGAAGTCAATTACATAGGACCACATATTATATAATTTCATTTATACGAAATGGCTAGGACAGGCAAATCTGTAGAGATAGGAAGCTGGTTAGTAGTTGCCATGGAGTAGGGGTTTAGGAATGAGGGTGACTGTTAATGGGTATGGGTTTCTTTTTGCGGTGATGAAAATGTTCCATAATTATTTAGTGGTGATAGTTCCAAGCTTTGTGAATGCTAAAAATCATTGAATTATATATAATTTAAGGAACAGACTAAAAATCTCAGAGGGATGGGGGTGGTGGTGGGAGGAGTGGGAAGAGATAAACCAAAGAACTTATATGCATATATGTACAACCAATGGACACAGACATTAGGCGGGGAAAGCAGGAGGGGTGTGAGAGCAGGGAGGAGGGGGTCAAAAGGAAAACAGGAGACTGTCTGTAATACTTTCACTAATAAAAAAATCTGAAGAAAAAGAGGTAATAAAAAAAAGGGTGTATTTATGGTATGTAAATTATATCCTAATAACACTGTCAAAAACTACCTGACCAGGGTAAGTCTGCCTGGTAATTGCCATGTACATATGGCAAAGTTGAAAGAAATTCTGGAAATACTTTTTTTTTTTTAAATAAAAATAGAACCATTAATAAAATGATTGCAATGACTAGATTATTTGAGGATGAAGAAGTCAAAGGAAAATATTTGCGATCAGTGTTTAACCTTCTCTCACCATCTCCCTGGGCACTACAGGTGTTGAAAGAGCTGAAAAAAATTGCACAGAAATAACGTTTCAACTATAAAACTGTTGATATAATGTTATTTAAGATTGTACTTAAGCCCAGCCTGTGTGGCGCAGTGGCTGAGCATCAACTCATGCATCAAGAGCTCGCCAGTTCAATTCCTGGCCAGGGCGCATGCCCAGGTTGTGGGCCAAATCCCCAAAGGGGATCATGCAGGAGGTGGCCAATTGATGTTCTCTCTCATCGATGTTTCTGTCTCTCTCCCTCTCCTTCCCTTCCTCTCTAAAATCAATAAAGAAACACAAACTAACAAACAAAAAAAGAGATTGTACTTAAAATAGATAAAATATTATGTAATCTTCAACATTTCAAGATTAATTGCATTTTGTTCATTTGTAAGTATTTATTAATACCTTATTTTTATGAATATAATTGTTGGTATTTTATGTTATAATTATATAAATAATCTAATGATATACTTATCATTGATGTTTGTATATATTTATGTTTGCTTCTCATTAAAAAAAAGTAAGCTTTATTTTATTATATGAGTAATATTTTAAATAAAATCCGGAGATGTGAGTGTGGTCACTTGGCTCCAAGGGGCAGTCCCTAGGAAGAGGGGGGAATTAGATGGTGAACATGTGGAAAATGAGCCTGGGGAAGACCCAGGTACTTACCTGTGCCTGCAGGAGCTTGCAAAGTCAATGGCCCATTGGGCAAAACCTTGCTTAGCCCTTTCAGAACATCCTCCAGACCAATGAGCAAGTTAGTGGCTACACAGTGCTGCTCTGAGTAGGGCAGGGTCTTCAGGTCCCCAGGGGTCTCCAGCAGCTTATCCACCTCCTGCAAGAGACCCTGGGGGAATGGGAACACAAAGCCAGTGGGCAACAGACCAAAGGTGCTGCTTGAAGACCCTGATCATTTAACCCCACAGAACAGACCCCAAAAACTCTCTATTTGGATAATAACAATGGTACTAAATTAGATTCCTACAATGGCCTTTGCTTCTTAGATCTCAGCCACTCAGAGGTGAACCTGGGACAGGAACTCCAAGGATGACATAAACCCAAACTCTGAAACCAGCAACAGGGAAAGAACTATAATATAGTGCCCCTGAATGTTTTTTAAATTGATTTTAGAGAGGGAAGGAGAGAGAGAGGGAGGGAAGGGAGGAAGGGAGGGAGGGAGGGAGGGAGAGAGAGAGAGAGAGAGAGAGAGAGAGAGAGAGAGAGAGAGAGAGAGAGAGAGAGAGAGAGAGAAGAGAGAACATCATTTGGCTGCCTTCCCATATGTACCCCAACCAGGTTGAACTCACAACCTAGGTATGTGTCCTAACCAGGAATCAAACCTGTGACCTTCCGGTGCATGGGATGATGCTCCAACAAACTGAACCACACCAGTCAGGGTACCTGAGTGTTTTTAAAAGTGCTTCTAGATACCCAAGTACACAGCCTTCTCTCCACCATGAGTGAGAGGCCAGTTGCAGTGTCTACTACATAGGAGTTTGGCTGCATTCCTACCAAAATGACCCAAGTTTCTATGGGATTTCCATATCTTGCCTCATTCTTGGTTCTTACTTTACCTGGATGGTGTTCTCAGCCAAGGCTGGTTTGAAGTCTTGAGATAACTTCTGGACTTTGTCAAAGAACTGAGAGAGGCTCTGGGGAGAGGGGACATGGAGGTGGGTCAGAGATCCTGAAGGGGAAGCTCAGGGAGAGGATAGAGACACAAGATGGTGTTGGCAAGAATCTCTCTGCTTCCTGGTCTTCTGCTGAGTCTTCACTCACCTGACTCTTGACTCCAGAAGGTGGTGTCCATGAGAAGGGGACGTCTGCAAGGAAAAGAGGCAGGAGCAACACTGGCATGTGTGTGTGCATGTACATCTTGTGAGTGTGTGCATGCATGCATGTATGTACTTGCCTTTTGCGAAAGTGCACATGTGTTCATGTATGTGCTAATGTGGTTTGAATACATGTATGTGCATACATACAAGTGTGTGCATGTGTGTGCATGCATATGTGTGTGTCAGGACCATATACCTTCACAGACAGTGGTGTTTAAAGTATTCAGAGGGCTGGACCTGGCCACCCAGTCATGGTGACAGTAGCACCTGTAGCTGCCCCTTACATTGATGCAGTGGGTGGAGTTGTGGCACTGGTGGTGTCCCGAGCTGCACTCGTCCACATCTGCAGACATAAAAAAGAGGGTCAGTCTCCTATTCCAGCTCTGCTAAGACCTCTCTTCTACTTGCAACACCAACCTTACTACCCTTCACCACCTTCCTCAAACTCAGGCTCAAGGAGTCCATCACAGCTGAACTTTGTCATTAGGGATATTGAAATTGGAGATTATCCTGGATGAACTGAGTGAACCTGGTGTAGTCACAAGGGTCCTTATAAGACAGAGGGAGGAGTTCAGAGAGGAGACGAGATGATAGATATGCTGTTGGCTTTAGAGAGGAAGAAAGAAGCCTAGAACTATGGAATGCAGGTAACCTCTATAAGCTAGAAGAGACAAGGAAACAGATTTTCCTCTAGGGCCTCTAGAAGAAACATTTAAAACTTCTGACCTCCCGAACTGTAAGAAAATACTTTTATTTTGTTTTCAACTACTAAGTTTGTGGTAATTTGTTATATCAGCAAAAGAAAACCAATATAGTGGTCCACTTCAGAATCTGGAAATTGTTTCCAGCCAAGTGGTGTTGGTATCAGTTCTAAGTGTTGCTTCAGGAATTGATGGGTAGCCTGGCAATGTGATTATCCAGACCACAAAGCCCCCAACTCCACTGGCTAACACTTTCCCTCAGCCTTCCGTGGCTCCAGCCACAGCTCTGCCCTCCAGGGCAGCCTCAGTATTGCCTACAAACTAGGGTATGGGTGTTAGTTCTGCTTTAAATGCCACACACAGAGGGAACTTATTTTGGCCTCAGAATATCTTGGGCATTTCTGCTATTTCTCCACTCAGGGGAAGTTCCTTCTTCTCAGATAAGTTTGTGGATGAGAAATGAGGAAGCCACGTGATGTGGTCATAGTTCTGAGTAAGTGTGGGTGTCTTCACATTTATTTGGCTCCACACTTATCTTTTCCTCTTTTCTAATTAGGAGAGACTTTTAAAAACTGTTTTTTATTGATTTTAGACAGAGAGGAAAGGTAAGGGAGAGAAAGACAGAAACATTGATGAGAGGGAACATCGATTGGCTGACTCCTGCATGTCCCACACTGGGGATCAGGCCCACAACCTGGGCATGTGCCCTGACCGGGAATCCAACCAGCAACCTCTTGGTGCATGGGTGACACTCAACCACTGAGCCACACCAGCTGGGCTAGGAGAGAATTTTGATCCCCTTTGCTAACTTAGAGACCAGCAGAGTGGAGCTTGGACAATATTTGCTATAGCTTTTTTTGTCTGTAACCTAGACAGTGAAGTGAGAGGAGCCCTCTGAACTGAAGATTAGAGGTTTCTCTCCTCTAGGGATGGTAAATAGCTTATAAACAACATAATGCTCTCAACAAGATTGATATTTATATACAGATGATAGATCATAAATTTGTACAGTTGAAACCTATATTTTATTAACCAATGTCACCCCAATAAATTTAAATAAATAAATCTTAAACACATGAAACCTTTTCAAAGCAAATATATTGCTGTCACATTTCTTAATATTAAAAGATTTAATATTTTACTTTGTAAATACTAAACACCTCTGCCTCTAAGTGATATCAAATACTTTAAAACACTATTCAAACAACTATATAAATAATAAAAATAGATAATATGAAAATTATGAATGCATTGAAAAGTCATTAATTAAGTCTGTTAAGCTTTTTGTAAGAGTATATTGCATGAAATTAAAACAACAATGAGGTATCACCTCACACCTGTCAGAATGGCCGCCATCAACAAATCATCAAACAACAAGTGTTGGCGAGGGTGTGGAGAAAAGGGGACTCTAGTACACTGCTGGTGGGAATGCAGACTGGTGCAGCCACTATGGAAAACAATATGGTGTTACCTCAAAAAATTAAAAATTGAACTTCCATTTGACCCAGTGATCCCACTTCTAGGAATATACCCTAAGAAGCCTGATACACCAATCAGAAAGAATATATGTACCCCCATGTTTGTAGCAGCACTATTTACAATCGCTAAGATTTAGAAACAGCCTAAGTGTCCATCAGTAGACGGAATGGATAAAAAAGCTATGGTACATATACACAATGGAGTATTATGCAGCTGTAAGAAAGAAAGATCTCTTATCCTTTGAGACGACATGGAGGGACCTGGAAAGTGTCATCCTAAGCGAAATAAGCCAAACAGAGAAAGAAAAGTATCATATGGTCTCACTTATTTGTGGAATATAATGAACATAACAGTCTGAGGAATGGGGTAGTCCCAGAGATGCGGAAGCAGGGTACAGACTGACAATCCCCAGAAGAGGGGGTGGCAGGGGAGAGATAAATCACAGAACTTATATGCATGTATGCATGAACAATGGACATGGACATGGACAACAAAGCTGGGGACAGGGAAGGAAGGGAGGGGAAGGGGGGAATCAGTGGGGGATAAAGGAGAAACATCTGTAACAAAAATAATTAATTTAAAAAAGAGTGTATTGCATTGTACAATGGAATATTATTCAGCAATAAAAATGAAATTGTGCCATTTGCAATAACATAGATGGACCTAGAAGGTATTTTGCTATGCAAATAAGTCAGACAGAGAAAGACATATACTGTATTATCTCACTTATATGTAGAATATAAAAAACCAAAACAGATAAACAAAGCAACATTGAAACATAGTAATAGATACAGAGAACAATCTGATAGTTGCCAGAGGGGAGGATAGTAGGGAGAATAAAAGGTACAAAGTCCCAGTTATAAAATAAATATTATGGGGATGTCGCGTACTGCACGGGAAATATAGTCAATAATAAGTTTGTATGGTGACAGATGAGTGGGGATCACATTATAAGGTGTGTAAATGTAGAATCACTATGTTGTATACCTGAAATTAATATAACATTGGATGCCAACTATGCTTTAATAAAATGTGTGTGAATAAAGATAAAAAACTTAAAATTCAGTTTAAGAAACCAATCTCTTCAAGAGTGTTATCATTCCTGACTTAATATGAGGAAACCAAGACCAGAGATTTCAAAACCAAGACCAAGGTGTGACCACAGCTCTGAGTACTGTAACAACAAAGCTCTTTCAAGTTATTCATTTATGTATATTACTAAAATTCCTTCCATGTACCAAGCATTGGAGTGCAGTGTGAGAACGACATCATCTACCCATGAAATGGATAGTTTATGTACAGTGACTGCTCTTTTTTACATTCTTTGATTTTTGTTTTATTTGTCTACAGGTCTGTCTGCCCACTGGAGAAAGGACTCCAGGAGACAGGGGCTATCCTTCACAGTTCTATTTATAGTCCCTGGGATATAGTTCAGAGCAATGGTAGAAAAGAAAATCATTCCTATGATAAAATTATTGTCTTAATACTACTAAAAGGGATTTAAAGAGTTTTAAGATTAAAATATATTTGTAAAGAAATGTTTGAGATGAATAAAAGGGAAGATCAAGGAGAAGAAAAGCTATGGCCATACTATAGGAACCATTCTGCAGCATTTGTTTTAAAAATTTAAAACAGATCTTAGAAAGCATTCTAGTTTAGTTTATTAAGAGCTTTCTCATTTAGCTCTATTATAATCACCCAAGACTGGAAGCAACCCAAATGTCCTTCAATGGGTGATGGTTAAACAAAGTGAGGTATGGCCATATAATGAAATATTATTTAGCAATAAGAAGAAGTAAATTACTGGAACACAAAACAACATGGAGGAACTTCAAAATCATTATGCTGAGTGAGAGAAACCTGACTTAAACACGGTATTATTCTGTTTTTATAAGATCTTCTCAAAAGACAATACTATGGGATAATACTTTCCAGGTCCCTCCATGTCGTCTCAAAGGATAAGAGATCTTTCTTTCTTACAGCTGCATATATAATGAATGTAACAGTCTGAGGAATGGGGTAGTCCAGTCCCAGAGAGGTGGAAGTGAGGTACAGACTGACAATCCCCAGAAGATGGGGTTGGGGGGGGGAGATAAACCACAGAACTTACATGCATGTATGCATGAACAATGGACATGGACAACAAAGCTGGGGACAGGGTGGGGAGGGAAAGGGATGGGGCATCAGTGGGGGGGGGGGAGAAACATCTGTAACAAAAATAAATAAATAAATATGATACAATACAATACTATACTATAGGCAAAAGAAAACAGATTAAGTGTTGCCAGGGGCAGAGGTAGGGGTGACTATAGAGACAAGATGAGGGAGCATTTTGGAATAATAGAGCTAAATGTTCTGGACTCTAATGATGGTGGTAAACCAAGTCTGGACATGTGTTAACATTTATAAAATTGCCCACCAAAAGGAAAAAAGAAGTCATGAAAATGTTCTAAAATTTATGATTGTACAGCTGTCATAATATGTTTAACTATTCTCTATTAATGAATGTCATGTAATTTGTTTCTAATCTTTAAATTATTGCATACTATGTTGCAATAAAGAACCTTCTAAATGTACCTTAACATGAAGATATAAGTCTGAACAAAAACAGGAAATGGGAGGAATGGCCCCTAATAGACCCAAGGGTACTCTCTCCTGGGCTCTCAGACAGACAGTCCCAAAGTTGACTACATGAGCTTGAGTGTGACAGTGTTATGGGGAGACAGGTGGAGGGAACACATTACTTACCTTGACAAGTGTTCTCCTTCTCACTTTTGAATTTGACGCCCCCTGAAAGGAGCTCATACCCAGAGGTGCACTCACAATAATGACTTCCCTCCACATTGTGACAATCTGCGAAGTTTCCACAAGACATGTATAATGGTGGACCACACTCATTGATATCTGGAACACAAGTGGAAACTGCTAGGAATGGCTAAAATTCTGGTTAAGATTGGTTGTAACCAGATTTAAATGATGTTACCACTTGTGCTTTCTTTTTAAACAAAATAATGTGTCTACAGGAGAAAACTGGAAAAGCACAAAATGCAAAAAACACATAAATATGTAAGCACTGAGACTGAAAATTTTTTTAGAAGGGAGAATATCTACCCATTGCTCATCTTCACCAATTATGAAGACAGCATCATTACTTTTCCAGTTATTCCCTACCTCATATGGATCAGACCACAGCCGTGGTTTATACAGAATTTTAAAATATTCTGTGACTACTTATCCATATCAAAAATAATAAAATAATTTTTGTGTCTATGGAATGTTTTATAGTAAGAATACATCATATTTCATCCAACTCATGACCAACTCAGAATGCTGTAGTTTGACATTTGGATCCAGATTGTCCCACTTTCTAGGTGTATGGCTTTGGACAAGTTACTTCACTTCTCAGGGCTCAAGTTTCTTCATTTATAATATTGCACCAGCCTTGCCTTTCTCAAGGGAATGCTTTGAACCTCTTAAGGGATAGTGTTTGAGAGCTTTCTGTTTCCTTATCTATAAGTGGGGGATAATAATAGTATCCACTTATCTATATATTATGTGATTTAAGTCAATTTTAATTTCAGAAATTGTGTTTTACAAATGGAAAATTACCATAGTGGCAAGAGGTTAGAGTGGTTATTTTTGGATGGAGGAACTGAGATTATGGCTTAAAGGGAGTTCCCTGCAAACTATGCTGAAGTTGGTAGAACATTCCAAATCTCTGGTTACTGCATAGTACTCTCCATAACTTCCTCCTTCACTATGTTGCCTCTGCCTTTGACCAATGAACGACAACAACAACAAAATATATTGACTTCTTATCAAGTGCAAGGCAGTATCCTAAGTATTTTTATATATGTTAATTTATCATTTTTATTGAGGTGAAAATTCATGTAACAAAACCAACCATTTTAAACTGAACAACTCAGTTGTATTTATCACATTTACAGTGTTGTGCAACCACCACTTCTGGTTAGTTTCAAAACATTTTTATCTCTCCAAAAGAAAACACCGTTAAGTAGTCAATCCCTATTCACCCCTCAGTCAGCACCTGGCGCCTATATCTTACTTAATTTAAAGCACACAAGTAGATGAGTTGATATTGTTATATCTGATTTACAGAGAAGGAAATTGAGATACTGGGAAATGAGACAATTTGCTTGAACTCACACTGCTGGTCAGTAATAGAGCTGGAATTCAGAAAGTCCAGCTCTAAAACCTGAGCTGTTAATGCTATACCCCTTGACCATGAGAACTGATTTCCCTGTTTATTGGCTCCTCTTTCCTACTCTTTGTAAATAATGTTAATGCTGTTCAAGGGCTGAGAACTCTAGTTGCCCCCAAATTTCTGATAACCCCTTCTATTATTCTTCAGCCTCTTACCTGTACAGACCTCCAAGGGGTTGCTAAAGATGGTCTGCCCAGACAGAGACGTGAATCCAGGATCACAGCGGCAGAAAGTGGCATTGGTACAATGGCCATTCTGTGGGCACCTAGCACAGGGAACTGTGGGAAAAAGACATCTAGGTTTGAAGTCCCTCAGAAGATATCAACTGCCAGTTGGAAACAAGGACATGGAGGAAGGAGAGGGAAGAGATGCCTGTCTTTGAACAAAGAAGAGCACTTGGTAATAGACTGGGAGTTTGGGGAAGAAGTAGAGTCAATTTCTCAAAGCCTAAGAAGACTACCCCAAGTCCTTGTTAGTGTGAAGTTTGTTTCCTGGGCTTCAGGTGGTGGGTGGGATTTGTCTGAACATACCTCCAGCCTTCTGGGCAGTAGCTCCTGATGATATTAGCAGGACCCAGAGCCCTAGAACAGAGAGAGAGAGGAGGTATATATGGCTTAGAAATGAGACCTGGAGCACCCACAGAAACAGCTTCACCACCTGGTAAAGTGGCCTCTCCCTATGGCTCCATGGCTTCCAGCAGCATCTCGGTTTCCCCCTAGACAGGTCCCCAGATTTCCCCATAGGACCTGGGGGGGGGGCAAAGATTTTCCCTTTTATCTTCCAGAAGCATCCTAAAGCATTGATAGTAGTATGCTTCTAGTACAGGGATCAAAATCTACACAGATGGAAAATAACAGGCGCACACATTAGATCATCTATTACCATCCATTTTACAAGATACATCTTATAAAAAAACTCCTTAGATCTGGCTGTCTTTACTCAGATACTAATCTTAGTTCTTTAAAGTTCAGGGTCTTAAATTATTATTTTCTTTTACTGTTTAGTAAAAAATTCCAAACATACTAAAAAGTAGAAAAACAGACAACTGAACCCCTGTGTATCAATCATCCTGCTATAACAGTTATAAGCTTATGGCCACTTTACTTCATCTATACCTTTACTAACTTCCCTGCCCCCACTGGATTATTAGAAGCAAATTATTGGCATTATATTACTTCTGAGGATATATTTCAAAAAGAAAAATATTTATAGGTAATAATAAGAAAAAATTATAGAAAACAAATTGAGAAATCTCACAATAATCCCCCAATTTTCCCCTGGTTGCAACTTCAAACCACTTCCTTCTTTGAGAGGTTAATAGAACAAAACAAATTGTTCTTCTTTGTTATTCTTCTTCTGAGGAATAGTGAAAGAGGAGCAAGCTAGGAATCAAGCAGAAGACACAGATGTTTCCCTAAATGGATAAAAAACACTGAAATAGTTTTAATTAAAGATACTCCCAATTATACCTACCTGGATAAAATGCAAAAAATATGCTCCTCATTGTGCAGAAAGATGAAGCCTGATCAGTGGAGGAATTTTATCTTAATCTGATAATATTTAGTGAACCAATAATATTTCCTGTTGAAGCAAATAACAAGTGCCGTAGAACTGACTTGGGAAAGTGCTGGCCGAGATGCCTCCTTATCCTTCCCCTACCCAGTTTAAGCTTATTAGATCTCTTTGTTCTGCTTTTTAATCTTTGCTTACCGTTACTATTTGCCGCTTCCTCTTCTAACCATGTTGTCTGACGTGGTCCAGACATGGAGAGGAAAGCTTCAAGGAATGCCTCTTCTAGGGAGAGGACGTGGCATGGGAGTGGGACTAATTGGTATTACAGGAATTATACTAAGAATTGTTATTCTGATTTACCTGTGACTAACCTGGGAATAACGAACAAAATGTTTGAAATCTTGCCGTTTCAATTAAATTTCGAAGAAACGTCAGCTTCCCCTGAAACAGTCACCACTGCATAACCGGAATGCTTTAACAATGTACTAATTCAATTAGGTAAAATATTTCCCCAGAAAGTCTCTAATAAACAAGTCATAGATGAATTGCAACAGGTAGAACTAATGGAGGCACCCTATACTCCTGTGCCTCCTCCCCAGATAGAAGTATTTCACAAAAGATTCCTGACCCTCCCTTGCCCTTTACAGGAGTATATAATGAAAATAGATTAAGAATAATTAACAAAGATGGACTACATTTCTCTTACACTAGCTTGCCTTTCATGAAACAGTTAGCATGCCAAGGTCCTCCCTGGTGCTGACGGTTCAAAAAACAAGAATGTTCTATTCTATTTCAATTGAATAGATATTATAAGAAATGTTACCCTTATCTCCTTGGAGATCTTAAACAAAACATAGCTGATCTAGAAATAGAGAAAAGAAATAGGGGTTAGAATATAGTTAATCAATAACCTTAGACAAAGAATCAAAAAATCATATCTGGGTGCCAATATTTTGCTGTTACAAAAACAAGTCTATCTATCATTCTGTTCCTTTCCTTTGTCTAATTGAAACTAACCTGGAACTATAATACTTAACTTTCTGCTTCTGTAACCGCAAATGCTTAACCTATGCCAAAAAAGAAAGTATATAATCACAAAGAAAATTACAGTAAATCGGAACAGTGTCACACTGCCTCTGAGTTGTGTAGTCATCTGTCTCCCGGCGCCAACGTCTTACACACCTTCGGGACCTCCTGGATCCTGCTGCAGCTGGTCTGTGGCAACTATTATTTGGACTGCCCACCTCCTTGCTGATGTTTCATAATTTCTGATGATTCTGACTATATTTAGAGGGCCTTTATAATATAGTAAATATGCAAGTCCCTGGCTAATGATACAGCCCAGTACTGTTTGAGCAAGAGTAGGACTACTGGTTAGCTCATATTCCAGAAGGTACTGAGTACCTTCTATGTGCTGGGTCTTGAGACATGAGTTATTCTTTTTCATTCTTGGTTTTCCCTGTTGCTTTCATTCTAGTGATGCCAATAAAACATGAATTTGTTGAGATAGCAAGGTGAGAAAATTTACAATCACTAGTTTTATCATATCAGGCACATTCCTTAAGATTTCTGTAATATGGGAATAGTTATTCTCACCAGGGTGTTGGGAGAATTCAATGAGATAAAACAGGTGAAATACCTGACACATTATATGGTCTCCTAAGAAACAATGTCCTTTGGTCGAAAAAATGGCGGTGGAGTGAATGTAAGCTACACAGAACATCTCCCAGGACCAAACTGTATTTACAACAAAAATAAAGACAAATCGTCAAGAAGGGGCAACCGAAAGGCAGCCTAGAGGACCACATAACCAGGAACACTGACTCAATCCTGGTAGGCTTGTGAGGACACGAGAGGGGCCGGGAGTCCACAGTTCTCAGGGGCCTGGGCTGGGACCAGCGGACTCGGCTGGGACGAGGGGACTCAGCTGGAAGCTGCTGCCGCCTCGGCTGTGTCTGGCGACCGCAGCTGAGTCCTGCGAACTCAGCTGGGTGCTACACCCTTGGCTGTGAGCTGCTGCAGCCTCGGCCACCCTTAGCTGGAAGCAGCGCCCTCGGGTTAAAAGTCGCAGGCAGCTCCATGACGTAGAGTCTGGACATAGGCTAGATTGGCAGCAGCCACTCACCTTGGGCTCTGGCAGAGGAAGGGCAGACTGGACTGGAACGGTGTGGGGACACTTGGGATTTGGAGGGCGCTCAGAGCTTTTGCTGAGTGCAGCCACAAAAGACTGTGGTCATCTAACTCTTTCCCAGGGCCCAGGGAGAGGCAGCGGCCCCTCCCTCAGAGATTCAACCCCACCTGGTGGTCATTGAAATGCTAATTGAGGCCCCTTAACAACCAGCAAATGCCCCACCCTCGGGAAATACTCTTACACTGAGCACCTGGGGGAGTTTTTCAGGCAATTCAGAAACCAAGGTTCTTCAGGTAACCTCTACTAATAGCCTCCAGGCAATAAAAAAGCTAGAGGATAACTACCATTCCCTGGGCTAGCAACTCTAACCAGGAAAGTTAAGACTTGAAAGTGGTTTTGAAGTGGGTCCTCCCTGGCTCATCCAAACCCAAAAGAGGGAGTCACAAACAGCAGAACACCAACAGGGAAAATTTGGCAGACTCCAAAACCCACTGTGATAGCCAAAATGGTGAAACACAGAAACAAAAGCCAAATGAAAGAACGAGAAACCTCTACCGAAGATGAGATAAATGAGGTGCAGTTAAGCAAGTTAACAGAACTAGAATTCAGAGCCATGATCTTGAGGAAGCTCAACAGCATGTGTAAGGACATAGACATGCTGAAAATAAGTCAATTGGAAATTAAAAACCACCAAGAAGAGATAAAAAATGACATATCAGTAATGAAAAACACATTGGAAGGTCTAAAAAGCAGAGTAAAGGAAGCTGAACACCGGATCAGTGAATTAGAAGACAGGGTAGAAAAAATCAACCAATCAGAAAACCAAAAGGAAAAAACGATTCAAAAACAGGAAGACAGCTTAAGAGAACTGTAGGACAACTGGAAACGGAATAATATTCGCATCATAGAAGTCCCCGAAGGAGAAGAAAATGAGCAAGGGATAGAGAATATATTCAAAAAAATAGTGAGAGAAAACTTTCCTAATTTGGTGAAGGAAGAAGGCATTCAAGTTCAAGAAGCACAGAGAGCCCCAAGTAAGAAGAACCCAAACAGGCCCACACCAAGACACATAATAATTGAAATGCCAAAAATTAAAGACAAAGAGAGAATCCTAAAAGCAGCAAGAGATAAGCAACAGGTTACCTACAAAGGAAACCCCATAAGGCTCTCAGCTGACTTCTCACAAGAAACACTACAGGCCAGAAGAAAATGGCATGAAGTAATCAAGGTCATGAAAAACAAGGATCTGAATCCAAGACTATTCTACCCAGCAAAACTATCATTCAAAATAGAAGGTCAAATAAAGAGCTTCCAAGACCACAAAAGGCTAAGGGAATACATTAGCACCAAACCAGCCCTGCAAGAAATGTTAAAAGGACTGCTGTAATTAGCAAGAGAAATGGGAAGAAAAATAGAACCACACTAACCAAAAATGGCAATAAATAAGTACATATCAATAATCACCTTAAATGTAAATAGATTCAATGCTCCCATAAAAAGACACAGAGTAGCAGATTGGATAAGAAAGCATGACTCATCTATATGTTGTTTACAAGAGACACAACTCACAACAAAAAACTCACATAGGTTGAAAGTGAAGGGATGGAAAAAAATCTTCCAAGCAAACGAAGAGGAAAAAAAGCTGGGGTAGCAATACTCATATCTGATAAAATAGATTTCAAAATGAAGGCCATAACTAGAGACAAAGAAGGCCGGTACATAATATCAAAAGGATCTATCCAACAGGAAAATATAACTTTGATAAACATATATGCACCCACTATAGGATCACCAAAAAACATTAAAAATCTTCTGGAGGACTTCAAAGGAGAAATCAATAGCAATACAATCATAGCAGGGGACTTCAACACCCCGCTGACATCACTGGATAGATCCTCTGAACAAAAAATTAGCAAGGAAACAGAGACTCTAAATGAAGCACTAGCCCAAATGGATTTAATAAATATCAACAGAGAATTACACCCCAAAACCACAGAATTCACATTCTTCTCAAGTGCGCATAGGACATTTTCAAAGGTAGACCACATGTTAGGGCACAAGCTAAGTCTCTACAAGTTCAAGAAGACTGAAGTAATATCAAGCATCTTCTCAGATCACAATGGCCTGAAACTAGATCAATTGCAAGAAGAACATACAAAGACATTTCAACACATGGAAGCTAAATAGCATGTTATTAAACAATGAATGGGTCACCAAAGCGATCAAGGAAGAAATAAAAAACTTCATGGAAACAAATGAAAATGAAGACAAAACAACAGAAAATGTATAGGATGCAGCGAAAGCAGTTCTGAGAGGGAAGTTCATAGCACTACAGGCCTACATCAAAAAACAAGAAAAATCTGTAATAGACTATGTAACCTCACAAGTTAAAGAACTAGAGAACAAACAAAAGGAAAACCCCAGAGTAAGTAGAAGGAAGAAAATAGTAAAAATCAGAGCAGAAATAAATGACATGGAGACCAAAAAAACAATTCAAAGGATCAATGAAACAAAGAGTTAGTTTTTCGAAAAGATAAACAAGATTGATGAACACTTAGGTAGACTCACCAAGAAACAAAGAGAGAGTACCCAAATACACAAAATCAGAAATGAAAGAGAAGTAACAATGACACCACAGAAATACAAAAGATTGTTAGCAACTACTACGAACAATTATATGACAAGAAATTTGACAATCTAAGCCAAATGGACAAATTTCTAGAAATACATAGTCTCCCAAAACTGGACCGACAAGAGATAGAAAACTTGAACAGACCAATAACAACAGAAGAAATTGAAGATGTAATCAAGACTCTCCCAGCAAACAAAAACCCAGGCCTGGATGGTTTCACTGGGGTGTTTTACCGAACATTCAAAGAAGATCTAACACCCAATCTCCTCAAACTATTTCAAAAAATTCAAGAAGAAGCAAGACTTCCAAACTCGTTTTATGAATTCAGCATAATTCTAATGCCAAAACCAGAAAAAGACACAACAAAGAAAGAAAACTACAGGCCAATATCCCTGATGACCATAGATGCCAAAAT